AAAAATACACATTTCTTTCACAAAGTGGCTAATGCTAGAGCTAGAGTTTCAGCTATTAAGAAGTTGACATGGAATGAGAGATGTGGTGAATCTGATTCAGAGATTAAAGCAGTTGCAACCTCTTTCTATAAAGAACTTTACAAGGAAAAGTGGAAGCTGAGACCATTTCCCTTCAATCTCTCCTTTAGGCAACTGAGTGAGATCCAGAAAAGTTGGCTTGAAAGGCCTTTTATAGAAGAGTAAGTCAGTGCAGCAATTAAGAAGCTTGAAGGTGATAAATCACCTGGGCTGGATGGTTTTACCAATCTGTTCTATCTAAAGTGCTGGGACTTTGGGAAAGAAGATGTGATGAAGGTGTTCTAGGAGTTCATGCAAATGCGTCCCTACAAAGTTTCTCTAAATGCCACTTTTATCTCCCTTATTCCAAAAATTGAGGGGGCTGTGAATGTTAAGGAGTTTAGGCGTGTTAGCTTACTTCACAGTTTCTATAAAATATTGGTGATAGTCTTGGYAGAAAGAATGAAAGGGGTGATAGGTAATGTTATTTCAAATAATCAGTGCATTTATTCCAGGCGAACAAATGGTAGACTCAATTTTAGTTGCTAATGAGTTAATTGACTCAAGGAGAAGACAGGGTATTCTGGGGGTTGTTTGTAAGCTTGACATTGAGAAGGCCTATCTCTCCAGGTAAAGAGAAAGTTAATATTCTTTAGTTTGCTGATGATACCCTCTGCTTTGTGGACACATCTCTGCCTCAGTTGGAAACAGTTCTTGGAATTCTGAGTTGGTTTGAAGTGGTTACGGGTCTCAAAGTCAATCTGAACAAAAGTAAGATAATCCCAGTGGGTCAAGTTGTAAATTTGGAAGATTGTGCATAGGTAATGGCCTGCCATATGGAGCTCCTTCCGGTTAAGTATTTGGGGTTGCCTCTTGGGACAAAATGTTCCTCTTCTTCAATCTGGAGTCCAATCATTGAGAGAATGGAGAAGAGGTTGGCTCTTTGGAAGGCTAAATATTTATCTTTTGGTGGTAGGGTTACATTGATTAAGAGCTCCCTATCCAATCTCCCAACACACTTTCTTTCTCTCTTTCCAATTCTAAATAAAATTGCAAATAGGTTGGAACAACTTCAAAGGAACTTCTTATGGAGGGGATGGGAGGATGAGAAGAAAATTCACATTGTTAAGTGGGAGCAAGTGTGTAAGCCTAAGGAGAAGGGTGGCTTGGGACTTAGGAAAGTAAGATTTCAATGCTGCTCTTCTTAGCAAATGGATATGGAGATTTGCTTATGAGAGAAATGCTTGGTGGAGGTGCTTCATTGCGGCTAAGTATGGTGTGGATTGAGGAAATTGGAAAACTCTCGATCCCCTTTCATTTGGGGGTAGTTCTCTCTTAGTTGGTATTTCTAAGATCAGTACTCTTCATGAACGGGGTCAAGTTTAAAGTTGGAAAAGGGGATAGAATCAAGTTTTGGAAGGATTCCTGGTGTGAGGAAGGCCCCTTGGCTGATGTTTTTCCCCGGCTGTTCCAAATTGCAGTGAATCAAGATTCTTCAGTTGCTGATAACGTTAGTACCGCTGGGGGCTCCTTCTCTTGGACTCCCCTATGTAGGAGGAATTTGCTAGACTGGGAAGTGGAGGAGTATGTAGGTCTGTTGGGGCAGATTCAAAATCAGAGAATTGATATGAGTATGGAAGATGAATGAACTTGGAAGTGGAATGCAGATGGTAGATTCACAGTTAAATCCCTTTTCCTTAAGATGTGCAGCTCAGGTCAGGAGAACTTCCCGGATGGGCAGATTTGGAACCCCACCTGTCCCTCCAAGGTTAAATTCCTGGTTTGGACAATGGTTTTGAATAAATGTCTAACTAGGGTCAACTTGGAGAGAAGGGGTATGCAGATTCYTGATCCCTCCTGTGTCTTATGCGGCATGGGTGCTGAATCTATAGATCATTTGTGCATTCACTGTCCGATCTCTTCAATCTGGGGACATTTCTTCAAGAAACTAGAGGTGTGTTGGGCTATGCCTAAGTCTGTGAAGGAGCTGTTTATGAGTTGGAAATTGGAGGGTCTTAGCATGAAATGCAGGCTTGTTTGGAATACTATTCCGCAGGCTGTTCTTTGGTCCATTTGGATGGAAAGAAACAATAGAATTTTCTGTAATCAATCTAAAAGTCCAGATGAGATTGTGCAGAAAGTGGTGGGGAAGATTTGCTCCTGGGTGTCGGTGAATGAGGAGTTTAAAAGTCAGAATGTTTCTCTCCTTCTTTGTACTAAATCATGGATGTTCTTGTAATATGTTTTGGGCTCAGGAAGGCCTGGTTGGCCTGAGTCTTGTTGTGTTTGGCTTTCTCATTGAATAAAATTACTTTACCTTTTTTCCAAAAAATTTAGATCTTTTTAGCTGGTAGTGTGAATTCTGTCTTTTCGATGAATGAGAAGCCAAGGATAGTGAGAACACTTAAAAGGCAATCAATAGACTATAATTGGGTCCATAATACATTTTCCTCACTTGTTCTCAAATTCATCTAGCCGTACCAGGACAAATGAGACTACTGCTGATCTTAGAAAATAGAAACCAGGTCAACACCAGATCTAGATCTAGTTAAATTGTTACATATGAACATGGGGTGTGGAAGTAACAATGGAGGAATGAAGTTACAAGTTCCTCCAGTGGTATCAGCATGGGGTGTGGAAGTAACATGCTTGGAAATGCTTTATATGTTTGCTTTTATTTTTAAATTTTCATTTGAATACGCTTTACATGTTATGCTTATGTATTTTAATTTTAGATAATGGTTTTTTAAAACATTTATTTTAAAATAAAAGTTTATATTTTTTATTAACGTTATGTTTAATATTTTTTTTTGAATTTTTGATTTTTTTTTGCATTTTTTTTTGAATTTTCTGACTTTTTTTTTATTTTTTAGCTTTTTTTTTGTAATTTTGTGCCTTGCTTAAAAAGGCGTGCACCTCGCCTTGCGCTTTTAAAACACTGGTAAAAGTTATAGACATGGTGGAAACATTATAAATTATGCAAAATATAGAATGGTATTTTATGATATAAAAGAAGCATCGGCACACCTTTTTAAATTATTTTTTTGAGAGAAGGTAACTATTATATTCAAAAGGGGCAGGGGGGATGTACATGAGAGGATGTATGAAAAAAATCATCAAATCCTCACAACTAAAATATCTCCCCACTTAAAGGGGCAAAGTGTTTGCACTATACAAAAAATTCATATCCCCCCTAGATTTAGCCAAAAGATCCGCAATTAAGTTCAATTCCCTTGGAATCCATCTAAGGATTCCAAATCACTAAACAAAGCTAAGAAAATAAGGTTATAGACAAAAGACTACATTCTGCCTTGTAGACCTTAAGATTCAGAGCTTCATGATACAATGAGTTAAAGCAAAATTTAAACTCAGAAAATGTAAATGGTTGTAATAAATAAAGCCAAATAATCTATTACACAAACAAAAACTAATATTTTACTTCATTTTTGAAATGAATATTGAACTAGCTCAAAGTGTAATCATGTAAGTTAGGCGGGCAATAATGTTGTTACTCCACGTATCTACAATATTGTCACCAGCTTATATTATAATACTATCTCTTGTACTCCACATATTGCTAGTAGTGTTTTTTGGGGACTATGTCGGTTCTAGTAAAATTTCTTGTTGCTACCCTTGGAAGTGGAAATGGAAATATGTTGTGGAAACTATCTCCTGTGTTCCACGTAGTGCTGACATTGGGGAATATGTCGATTTTGGTAAAATTTCGTCACTACCCATGGGAATGGAAATATGTCATGAGAATATTTAGGGGCATTTTAAACCATGCCTATATCAATAACAACTTGACAACCAGGAGTAGACTAGTGTAACTGCTCTACTTATAACTTAGTCCTCCTAGGAAGATTTGTTGTTAAAAATCCTGGAGTTTTTCCTCTTCCCCAAGGCCCAAATCACAACAACTGGGGGCAGTCCTCAAATTTGCATTGCTCTGCTTGCTTAAATCCGGTGGGTGCCATTCCTCAATATCTTCCTTGACAGATTTATGGAAGATCTAAATACTGCCATGGATTTTAGAAAATTCCCCAAATTCATCAATATTCAGTAATATGTGGAATATTGCATAGTATTTATTTATTCTGTTTGGGTACAAGTTCTATTTGTTATTTTATCAAATATATATATATATATATAAGTTCTATTTGTTATTTGGAAACATAACAATTGGATGGTCATATAGCTACAATTACTTTGTTCAGTATTGTCTAATCAATCAATGCTTTCAGGGTAGCTAATCTTAATAAATATGGTTCTCTATAAAAAAGAAATCTTAATATATATGGTTTCTTTTACAGGAGACGTCCTTACCAAGAAGCAAATATGAAGAAGATGTGTACATTAATAACCACACAAGTGTTTGGGGTTCCTGGTGGAAGGATCACCAATGGGGCTACAAGTGCTGCAAACAAATGATAAAGAACAGTTACTGTACAGGTGCAGCTGGAATTGAAGCTGCTGAAGCTGCAACTGATCTCATGAAAGCTAATATTGCTCGTAAAGAGGACACTGAAGGTTAGTGTGCAGGCTTGATTTTACCTTTTCTACGAAGCATTATTACTGACCTCAACAGAGGTTAAATTTCTCATGCTGGCACAAGGGAGTAACTTTCCTGCAATTCACGCCTAAATGTTTTATAGTTTCTTGTCATTTAAAACTACTGCTTGCCTTTTTAGTTTGAAATATATAATTCTTTAACTATTCAGCTTCATTGAAAAATTTTGATCTCTTGATATTTTTAAATTTGTGATTTCTGCATTTAGAAGTTTGATGTATGTGCAAGCCTTATGTTGTGATATTTCTGCTTTATGTTTGAAAATCCCTGCTACATATGCACCTATCTTCCCTTTCTCAAACAAGTCTAACTTTTACATTACCAACATATACACAGAGAAACCAGCATCAACGGAGGACAAAAATCTTGCTACATGGGGAACTGATGTACCGGATGACTTGGTCCTTGACAAGAAACGACTTGCTGAGGCACTTAAGAGGGTATGGCACCTATAGCATATTTTTCCTTTTATTGTGCTTATCATAAAAAAATTGACTTGTTTTTATTTTTAAAGAACTTTAAACCTACTTTTAGTGGAGGGAGCTACTTTAAATTTGATTGAACATAGAAGAAATCGAGGTTACAACCTAATATGGGGACTTGGAAGTTAAAACATCTTATTTGGTAGGCCAGAGATCCTTGGCCCCTAACTTGAATTGCTTGTTCAAATGAGTCTATAACTAACTGGTGGATTCAATTGCAAGGAAAGATGTAGATGGGCATAAGCTGCACTAGGGTCTAACCACCTTGGTTAAAGATTTTTCTCTTTTGTACTGTGGGTTTTGCATTGTTGGGGGAGTTTTAGCTAATCATTCTATTTTTAGGCGAGATTCCAGATGTTTTATGTTTTCATATGCTGTTTTTATCATTTTCTGTTGACCTGTTAGTTGAATTGAAGCATTGGCCTGTTTTCCTTGAATACTGTGAAGAAAGGGCGGGGGGGGGGGATTACAGATTGTAGTTCTTAAGCCCCAAAAGGGTGTGCTTGGGTATTGGAGATATAATTTTCTTCTCAAATTCTGTGACTTGGACAGGAGGATGAAAGAAAGAAGGAAGAAAAAGATGAAAAGAAGCGGAAATACAATGTGCGATGGAATGATGAGGTATGCTTTTCTTTAACGCTGTGTTTGTTTGAGGTGTAAATGAGAACCGGGGTAAACTTTATACCCCTGGTCCAATTTTGCATGTGTTTGGTAGAGGTATTAATATAAACCTTGTAAATTGAAGTAAAATTTCATTCTTATCAGTATTTCCATCGAAAATCAGTGGAAAGTTTACGCCGATAAAATCGATGTAAACTTTCCCTTCTTCGTCCATTGGTCTCCTCTTTGCAAGAACAAGCTTCTCTCCTCTCTGTCCTGCAATGTCTCTTCCGTCCAACAGCCAGAAGAACAAGCTTCTTAAATCTCTGTCCTGCAACGTCTTCTCCATCCAACAGCCAATAGAGCAAGCTTCACTCCTCTCTATCCTGCAACGTCTCCTTTCTGTCCTGCAACATCTCCTCTGTCTTGCAGCAATCCTCTCTATAAGATCAAGCTTCGTTTCGATTAAAGAATCTTATAGATCTTCAAGATCTGTCTGTTTAACTAGGTGACCTGAGTTCAAGATTTGGCCATTCCAAAATCTGCCAGATCTGAGTTTCTAGTTTTAATATCAAATCATAATAACTATAAAAGATTGCTTGTGATAATCCCAAATTGGTGGTTAATTGTTCCAGTTAACCTTAGTTCTTCCCCTATCTAACTGCTCTGTTCCGTGATGATTGTCGGCAAGGTAGCAGTTATCTGTGGGTACAGAGATGTCGACAAGGATTGTGCTATCACCATTAAGCAAGTCGGTGCCTGTGTAATCATTACCGAGATAGACCCCATTTGCGCCCTTCAGGCTCTCACGGAAGGCATCCCAATGCTGACCCTCGAGGACATTGTAGCCAAGGCCGAAGCAGACATTCTGTCGGCTTGGCCGGTGATCAGCCTTGAACCATTTAGGGTACCGAACCAGGTCTGCATTCACGACCTGCATTAACCTCTCTCCCTCCTGGCACCACCCTCACTACCCCTCCCTCGATGTAGACCATCTGCAGATTTCCCGTTTTCTAGACCAACCACTGCTGCACTCCTAGCTCCTCCAGCTATGCTTTCCGATTTCATCTGCCTTCCACTGCCCATGCCATGGTGGGTTCAGGCGTCAGAGCCCAGACGGACCAAGGAGAGGCTGAGCGAGCAGAAAACCTTTCACTTTTGCACCGTAACAATCAAATAACATGAGAGAAAAATTCCAAAACACCCTGGTTCCATTTGCATCGATCACTAAACCGAGGTCACATTTTTCATCGGTGTAAAACTGAATTTACACCTAAAACAAACGCAACCTAATGTTTTAATGTGAGATGCATGTGCTTAGTTTGTGGTGGTTTTGTTTCTCACTGATGTTTAATTTTCTTAGGTTACTGCTGAGGATATGGAGGCATACAGGATGAAGAAGATCCACCATGATGATCCAATGAAGGACTTCTTTCACTGAATTTGGACTATGTACTTTCTTCCATCTCAAGCATATTTAAATGGAGTCATATATCTGTTTTCAAGGTTATTGTCTGCTTTAAAGTGGATCGAAGTGGTTCTCCCCCAACCTAGAGAAGTAATGGAATTCGGATGAGATGAACGCAAGGTTCCACGCCAGGCTCCATTATGATTGGTGTGGATCCCATGTAGAACTTTATCATTGGTTCCACAGCCAGCCGAATAGCCATCGCGTTCAGCCAAACCTTGCTCGAATTAATGAAGTCGTATATCTGCTTTTGTGTAAGGTTTCTCCCACGGGGGACCTCCATTTTATGTGTATATTTTTTTTGAAACTAGGAAATGTCAGGAGTACCGTTGGAAATGAATTCCTCTTTTCTGTATTCAATAGTGCGATAAGAAAAAATGGTCTTTGTGGTTTGTATCAAGTATCAACTGTTATAATGAGAATTGATGTGTAGATGTGAAATCTAAATTTCTTCCGTTCAACCTGATTGATTACACGACTGGTGTGGTGAATGCAAGGTTTTAAGACGACCGCTTGTACATGAGTAGGCTTTATTATATCTGGATCTTTTTATTTTGTTGTCCCAGTAGCTCCTATTCCTGATGATGGGGTTTGGTCCCCGTCTATATTTAATTCCAACCCAACTTCCAATCCATCACTCAATTCAAAGTTGGCGAATTTTCTACTCGAAGCTGATATATGTATCCATGGATCTGCTGAAGACAAAAGGGGTCTTGACGGTTTTATATGAATTTTTAAGTATTTATAAGCATATACATCTAAATCGAATCGAGTTAGATTTTATTAGATCGGAAAGAGGTAGATGCATGATCCAAGGTTGAAAATACCGATACGTCGCGAATTGATATTGTTTTTTTACTTATTTTTTTTTTCTGGAACCGGTTTAGGGCTCTTCCACCCCCTGAACTGGTCAGACTCCTGATAAATCCACTGTAGGGGCGTATTGGAGGGGTCCCAGAACGATATGTATTGGTTGATACGTGTCGATATTTTGAACATTGGTTTGATCCAGAATTCAGATCATCCTTAATGGGATAAAGTTTGAATTAGAACTCAGATAAACGTGGATACCATTTCTAGCCGAATTACAAATCTATAGTTTGGTAATTTGACGATAAGGCCAAGTTCGGTTCATTGCTCTAGTCCTCAATTTTTTTTTTTTAATTCTTGTTCATTCTAGGCAAGAATGAATTACATTAGTGTTTGATTATAAAATTCTTGTCATGGTCACATTCTTTTTAGAATGAAAAATCAGCCTCATAGCACAAAAGTTAAGCAGCATGCACCATGAAAAATAATCTACAAAAGTACTTTTATAGGAACACTTATAAATGCACTTTTACTTGAAAGCACTTTTACAAAAGTACTTCACTAAAGCATTTTTACGAAGGTACTTTTATGAAAACACTTGTATAAAAGTACTTTTATGAAAATACTTTTATAAAAGCATTTTTATGGAAGTACTTTTATAAAAGTATTTTTATGAAAGTACTTTACGAAAGTACTTTTATGGAAGTACTTTTACCAAAGCACTTTTGTGAAAGTACTCTTATAAAAACACTTTTATGAAAGTACTTTCATAAAAGCATATAAAAGCACTTTCATCGACTGTTGGAGACCTAGGCTGGTAGTTTGTAATACCAACACAATTTTTTTTGAAGAATGAAAATGAGCAACATAAGACATGTCAGTTTTAAAAGAATTCATTTTTAGGAAAATAAGTGTTTGATTCACAGTAATATTTTCTCATTCAGCCTATTTACCCATTCTTGTCCATTTAAGAATTTCATCTTAAGTAAGAATGAGAAAGAATGAGAATTAAACCAAACATGGCCTAAACATGTAATATCTTTTGCATTCTTCTCATCCTTAATAGAAATTCAGATCATCCTAAATAGGATCGAGTTTGAATTAAAACCCAGATAAACGATCACATTTTCATTATTAAATGTATGCAGTTTAAGTGTTACTAGATCCATAGTCCTAGTTGCAACTTGCAATCCTACGCAAGGGTGGCAGGCATAATTTGCCCAGGGTTGGGCTTGTTTGTATTGGTGTAATATGAAAGTTATTTATAAAGAAGCATACCAAGATTTCTAGTATACATGAAAATAAATAAAGATTTTAAAATATGGAATACAAATTTGAGAAGTTATAGTTTTATATATTTTTAAATTTGGAAATATAATTATATGTATGCATGTATGTATATTTGATTCTATAGTCAGGGGCGAAGGGGAACTATGCCCTCTCCTTAAAAATCCCTATAATCCTTATTTATATTCCACTTGTATTTTGACTTTTGATAGCTTTTAGCCCCTTAATCTTGTTCCTATATAATGTTAATATATTCTATGTACAATATATATATATATATGTATATATATTTCTCTGTGTGCATATACATATATATATACATAGCTTTTTTCTTGTACATATGCATAGCACATACCCTTATACTAGTGTATATTAAATACTTAGGGTCTGTTTACTTTTTTTGGATTTTGATATGAGGAAAGTTGGTCAATGGGACTTTGGTTCCCACTAACCAAGAAACCAATGTTCTTGCTTTAGGTCAAGTATCAAAAATGGTACTCAAAAGTCACCATTAGGATAAAAGATTTTAATTTCTCAGTTATCGCATTAATAGATTTGGGCGTAGATATAAATTGCATTAGAGAAGGGATTGTCCCCTCCAAATATTTTGAGAAAACATCTCAACAGGTGAATGCCGCTAATGGAAGAAAACTATGAATAAAATATAAAATCCCTACAGCCCATATCTGTAATCAGGGTACCTGCTTAAAATCTACCTTCCTTATGATTAAAGACTTAAAGCAAGAAGTAATTTTGGGAACACCTTTCTTGCTATCGATCATTCCCTACCAAATAGATTCTACAAGGATCACTACTACCATAGGAGAAATAATAGTCACCTATAAATTTTGCCAAAAACCAAAAATCACTACAATAAACACCTTAAAAGAAAGCTTGAAGGGTAAAGTCAAGTTTATCTTTGAACTACAAACAAAGATAAAAGAAAAGAAGCTAATTAAGGTGCTAAATGACCCAAAAACCCAGTTGGTAATTAAAAATTTCCAGACAAAAATAGGAAAAGAAATATGCATTGAAACCCCTAGCGCATTCTGGCACAGAAAAAGAACATATGGTGGATCTTCCATATGAAGAAGGATTTAATGAAGCTAAAATCCCAATGAAGGCCAAACCAATTCAAATGAAAAGCAGATTATTGGAAATCTATAAGAAAGAAATTTAAGAATTATTAGATAAAGGTCTAATTAGGCCGAGTAAGTCTCCATGGAGTTAGAATGTCGAAAATGTCACAGAAATCGAGAGAGGAACCATTAAACAAAGCCTTAAGATGGATTAGATACCTAATTCCCAATAAGTAGGATTTAATAAAAAGATTATATGATGCAGAAATATTCTCTAAATTTGACCTAAAGTCAAGATATTGGCAAATTTTAGTAAATGAAAAGGATAGATATAAAATTGCCTTTACAGTTCCTTTTGGGCATTATGAATGGAATGTTATGCCCATCGGCTTAAAAAATGCTCCTTCAGAATTCCAAAGAATTATGAATGAAATTTTTACCCTGTACACTCAATTTATAATAGTGTACATAGATGATGTGTTGATTTATTCCCCATCACTAAAATCTCATTGGAAACACCTGAATATCTTTTTAAAGGTAATGAAAGAAAATGGATTGGCAACATCCGCCAGAAAATGAAACTTTTTCAAACCGAAATTAGATTTTTAGGATATCAAATCTCAAAGGGAAAGATAACACCTATTCAAAGGGTAATATAGAGTTTGCTGATAAATTTCCTGATGAAATCAGTGAAAAAACTCAACACCAGAGATTTAGGTAGTCTAAATTATGTGGCAGACTACTATAAAGATTTGGCTAGAGATCGCCAATTACTACAAAAAAAACTTAGAAAAAGTCCTCCAAAATGGAATGAACAATTCACTCAAATAGTGAAAAGAATAAAACAAAGGGTAAAAACCCTTCCTTGCCTTAATATTCCTCACCCTAAAGTCTCAAAGATAGTAGAAACAGATGCCATCGAACTAGGGTATGGAGGGATTTTGAAGCAAAATAAAGATGGGAAGGAAGAAATTATTCGATTTACCTCTGGAACTTGGAATGACACCCAATAGAAATATTCCACCATAAAGAAAAAAATGCTTGGTATTGTCCTATGCATCACTAAATTTCAAAGTGATTTGATAAACCAGCATTTTACTTTGAAAATTGATTGTAAATCGGCAAAAGAAATTTTGGAAAAACATGTTAAAAACCTGGTTTCAAAACAGATTTTCACCCGATGGCAAGCAATTTTATCAGTTTTTGATTTTGATATTAAATATATTAAAGGTTATGATAATGCTATGCATGATTTTCTAACTAGGGAATTCCTTCAAGGCAATCTAATCGAAGATGGCCAGCAGAAGACCAAGTCTTCTAACAAGTCCTAATTCGAGGAAATCCAGACAGACCAATGAGTCCAATCCAAGATCTTATCAGATCAGATCAAGTTCTGGGACTAATCAGTCCCCCTCATTATTCCCTTAATAAGGGATCCTTCTCTGGCATCCGACAGGGCTAATTCAAGCCAATACATCACCTACTCCCACCGATTTTGTGGTAACTGTTTCTCGAGAGGAAGCCTCTTCTATTTCTTCTCATGCTAATCCAGAAGGGGCACTCTAGCATTTGGCTCTCACCTACTCCACCGATTTTACAGTATGTGGTCTAAACAAAGATAAACAATATTATGAAGAAATCCATCTACACACAGGCTCTGCGAGAATCTAGCACTATTACGGAGACCCAAACAAGACAGAATTAGCATATTCCAAGCTTGTAATAGTAAAATTTATGACAAAGGCAGCCTGGGGCAATTCCAGTAAACCCAGATTCATCACCAAGCCCATTGACAGAAGACCTAGGATGTTCAATTATTGGGGTTATCAAGATGCTTGGTACAAGGTTTTCTTGTTACAAAACTCCGTTTCAGACATTCATGGTTCATCAGATTTTCAGAAGAATTCCAGGGTCCCTATCCTGACTGGGCATGTGTGGTGGACCACATGGGGAGCCTTAGACAACATCTTTCCCCACCAAGAGTTAATTGAAAAATATAGAGCTTTTGGGAAAGGGAAAAGTTACTTAGAATTTGACCATGTAAAACAATTTGAATTCTTTAAAACTTTTCGTCTTCCATGGATATTAAAATGGAAATACCATTTTGATGTCTCTCAGATGCCTCCAACCATTGATAGAATCATTGAAATCAAGTGGTGGGATAAATTTGATCTCACTAAGACCCTAAAGCCATCAACAGACGAAGATGGCATCTTTCAGCTTCTCTTTGAATCGTATATGGACAAGCTCTGAAGCAAGTTTCCTAACTTAGACCCCTTGGAGCTCAAAGATATGTC